AAGCGGGTAATACTACCCGCCACCTACTAGTGGGCATCCTAAAGTTGGGCTAGGGCTAGGTAGGGTTCCTGAAAACGCGACTCTCAAATGAGAGTCGCGTTTTCTGGGGTCGAATTTTGACCACCCAACCCCTCCCTTTCACCGCACTGAACTCCTCCCGTCTACAAACTCCAATTTCCAACCAAACTCCCTCCCATTCACCGCACTGAACTCCTCCCTGTCTACAAACTCCAACCTTTCTAACAAAACTCCCTCCTTTCACCGCACTGAACTCCTACCCATCTACAAACTCCAACCTCTTCTCCAACTCCCACCCAACTCCCTCCCTTTCACCGCACTGCACTCCTACCCATCTACAAACTCCAACCTCTTCTTTAACAACCCACCCAACTCCCTCCCTTTCACCGCACTGAACTCCTACCCATCTACAAACTCCAACCTCTTCTCCAACTCCCACCCAACTCCCTCCCTTTCACCGCACTGAACTCCTACCCATCTACAAACTCCAACCTTTTCTCCAACTCCCACCCAACTCCCTCCCTTTCACCGCAGTTAACTCCTCCCCATCTACAAACTCCAACATCTCACAAATGCTCCACTCGTCCCCTCTCACCTCCAAAACCGTTTTGCCCCAAAACCTAAAACACAGCGCGACTTACGCCCATGTCTAGGTGGAATACCCGACCTCGGGTATTTTTTTACCCGACCGGGTCGGGTACCCGTTACCCGACACGTCGGGTAACATTTCGGGTAGCGGGTATTGATACCCGGCCCGGGTAACCCGGACCCGACCCGCCGGGTAATTTTCAGGATTTCTGATACCCGACCCGCCCTAAAAGCGGGTCCGGGTACCGGGTACCCGACCCGGTCAGGTAGTTTGCTCAACCCTACTTGCAGGTGGTGCGTCCGGGCGGAACGAGGTTCGGTACACAATTTATCGCATTGTCTCGGCTTTGTGAGGTCAAACTGTCGCTGCTACAGATGGTGCACAGTGAGGGGTGGGAGTTGTGGGCAACGGGGGTGCGGAGGAGTGCAGGGGAAGCCTTCCAAGCCACCTCGAGGACAAGATTTGGTGGAAGGCGGCTGCCTTCTTTGTGAAGCTGATGAAGTTGCCATTCATGGCGATGCGAGCAACTGATTCCACGGCGAAAGGGATGATGGGCAGATTCTATGATCACATGCTACAGCTGACTGTGGATGTGAAGCAGCTGCTTGAGGGGGAGGATGGGCAGGAACTGCTGACGAGGGGGGAGGAAAGGGAGATTAACAAGTTTGTCAAGACGCGCTGGGATGGCAGCCTTCCTTGCCCCCTCCACGTGGTTGGTCGGATCCTTAATCCGGGCAACCAGGTGGAAGAGATCTTCCCGGATGATGTGGAGTGCACCAAAGTCTTCAAAGACTTCATCTCCGCCACTACGGGGACAGACCATTACCAGGAAGGATGTGGGTGAGAGGCGCGCCACCCTCGTCTTGCAGGAGGGACTCATGTCCTTCCTGAAACTCGAGGGCAGCTTTGGCATGCCTGATGCCATTAGAGATCGCTTGGCCGTGAAGGAGGGAAGGGTTGCATGGTGCATTGGTGGACCTGGCACGGCACCGACTGCCCGGAGTTGGCCAAGCTTGCTTGCCGTGTCCTCACTCAGCCGGTGTCTGCTTCTGCATGCGAGCGCAACTGGGCAGTGTGGGATTCGGTCCACACTGCTTGGCGCAACAAGCTCGGCTCGGAGAAGCTGAAGGATTTGGTTTACATTGCGCACAACTGAGGGGGCACGGGAGGCTGGTGTTAGGGTTTGCCCGCAGCATGGTGTTGCACAGCATGAAGTGGAGTACTCGCAGCGGCTGGTTGTAGGGAAGATGCATCCTGGTTGTGTTGCATGGGAGAGGGGGTAGGTGTGTGTGATGTGATGGATGGATGTTAGGTTGGCTTGTGAATGTACCCCGAAACTTCTAATATTTATTAATGGGGGCGGTGGATGAAGGTGCCCTTCCCGCCCTTCCTTTCCTTTCCCCTTCCCCCCCCCCCCAGAAGCCCTTTTTTTGCCCTGCCCGAAACTTTTTTTAACCGTGCCCGAGCCAGCGTTTTCCTAGCGTTTGCTCCCTCCTGGCTAAGCAGTTTGCGTTTCAACGCTAGCGTTTAAAACGCCAAACGCTTTTATTCCAACGTAGATGTGCCACACTGTTTGTATTTGCCATTTTATTGACAATGTATATATGTACAAGAGTTCCTAGTTAGGGATTGTTGAACTAGACACCATGCAGCGGAGAACTAAAAGGTGTTTCTAGCAACCTTTCCAGAAGTCATTCCCCAAGTATGCAAAATCTGCTACCGATAGAGGGGCAACCTTGCACGAGGCTGCGTTGGTGCCGTCAGAGAAACGGACCTGCGCACGCCTACAAATTGTGCGGGCCTGCTCGCACTGATGGACGAGCGAAATGCGCTTGTAGAAGAAGTTGGTTTCAAACATGTGGAGCAAAAGATGGGAAGAGCCGCTGAAATCGCGAAGACAGTAAGCACCATGATGACTGCAGTCTTTGAGGAAGTCTTGGAAGGACTTTCCAATGCACCCAAAAGTCTCAAGGACCACGGGAAGAAGTTTGACATTCGGGCGGGTGCGCAGCGACGAGGCGTAGAGAGTGGTCTTCTCAGTTTGGAGGCGGTCGAACCAATGACCTTGGCGGCGTTGGAGTGGGGGAACCTCTGTTGGGGGTCAGTCACAGAGATCTTCAAAGCCAAGGTTGTACCCGATTGAACGTCTCGGCAGCTGACATCAGGCGCTGCCCCCGGAAGGAAATGCTGGTCTTCCAGCTGCGCAACGAAGCCCAGCTCCAGGGTGATACGATGTACCTCATGTTTGATGACAACATGTACCTTGGGCAGCGGAGAGGGTGGGAATGGATAGAAGGGTTAGAGAACGGAGAGCCACACGTGCAGGTTGCGGCAGTGGTGAGGTGAGGAATGGGGAGGCCGAGGCGGACTGCAGCAGCAATATGCCACTCGGATTCTGTCATTTGCATATGCGAGGAGGAGGGTGCCACCATAAGCCAGTCCCCGGCATGCGGGCCCTGAAGGGAGGTTAGTCGAGCCAAGCGGAGCGGGGAAGAAGCCGTAGCGCGCACCTTCTCAAGCTGGGCGGTATCTAGCTGATGAGAAAGGTGAGTGAAGAGCTTGGGATGATAGCCTAACTGAAGGTGGGACCAAGAGGGGAAACGATCGCGAACTTCTTGAGGAAGCATGGACATGGCGGAGGGGATGAATTCATCAAGACGATGAATAGTGTCGGAGGAGAGGAAGGGGGTGAAAAGCGGCACACCGTCAGTGATGAAGTGAGAGGAGAGCAGTGGTAGTGATTGAGCCCAGGTGCAAAGGTAGCTGAGTGGAGCGGTGAGGGCGGAGGGACGAAGACCGAAACCGCCCAAACGAATGGGGAGGAAGGCTTGCTGATGGGCGGTTTTGGTCTGCACCGTCAGTTGAATCCAGTAACTGGGGCCAAAACGTTGGGTGAAGTAATCCAAAAGGGCAGAATCCCAAGCAGCAAAAAGGCTGTGAATATCGGGGAATGGAGAGACTATTCAAAGAAGGAAGGAGGGACGGGCTGAGATGCAATGAGAAAGGATGCGAGAGGCAATCTGGGGGTTCTCAAGCTGGTGAAGAAGGGGACAGGAGGATATGAATGAGTTGAGCTTATCACGGACCTCCGAGATGATGTGGCCGTTGGAACTAATTGGAAACCTAGCGACGCTCATGCCATTTTGGGGCGAATGGAACTCCAAGAGGGAGGGCACAATCTGTTGGAAGATGCAGAGGGCACCATACGGAACACTTCGAAGGCTGGACAGCAAGGCCTAACGAGCAAAGGCGGTTCGTAAGTGCCATGAAAGCCGTCGAAATAATTGAGGGTGGACTGACGAGGAAAGTGTCGTCGGCGTAACAGGTGATGAAAATGGAAGGGAATTGCTGCTGGGTAGAGAGGATGGCATGTTGCTGCGTGAGGGCGTACAAGACGGGACCACAGGGGTCCCCTTGGCGCACACCAGAGGCATACTGGAAGGAATGAATGGTGGGGCCATTGCGAAAGTGGAGGGGGGAAGGGGAGGCATAGAAGATGCGGAAGAAGGTGTAAGAAGTAGAGCTGAAAGGATTGATTAGGTAAGGACTCCAAAGCTCTATAAGTACATGGCAAGCTGAGAGAGAATGGATGAAGGGGGAATCGGAGAGAATCCCCACTGGGATCTCCAGAATCTCCAATCGGGTAATTGGAGATTGAGGGGGTCACAATTGTGTGAGGTTGGGATTTTGTGAGTACACCCCAACCCACTAGAACATTCTTAACATAAACTAGTATATAAAAGTACAAATACAAAAATGGGATTTGCAATCTATTTTTAACACACCCCCACGAACTGCAAATCCGGTCAAGGAGCACATAGCCCCATGGAACGGAGAAGGCGATGGTGGTCAGCCTTGTCGAGAGCCTTGGTAAAGAGGTCGACGATGTTGCAATCTGGGGCAATGTACCGTACCGTCAGCTGGTCACTCTGAACAAGATCTCGGATGAAGAAATGACGAAGTTCAATGTGCTTGGTGTGAGAGTGGAACACAGGATCCTTGGTGAGATGAATGGCGCTCTGGTTGTCACACCACAGGGTGGGCGACTGCTGGGGGTAGCCTAACTCAGCGAGGAGAAAGGAGAGCCAGCGTGCCTCTTGAGCAGTCATTGTGCCTGCGTAGAGCTCGGCCTCGCAGAACGACAGGGAGACTGTAGAGGATCGAGTAGAGGGCAAGCTGATAACTCCGCTACCAAGAGTGAAGCAGTACCCTTGGAAGGAGCGTCTGTCAGTCTGGTCATTGGCCCATGAGGAGTCTGTGTATCCTTCGAGCTTGACTAGAGAGGTACCACCGAGAGTGAGGATGTGAGATTTGGTGGCTTGTAGATAGCGAAGGACCCTCTTGGCTGCAGACCAATGGGAGGCAGTGTAGCGTCCGGGGAGATATACCGAGAGAGAACACTAACCGGGTAAGCCAAGCCTGGTCGAATGCACATCATGGCATACATGAGTGAACCGACTAGCTCTGGGTACGGGTCCTTGCAGGCGTCAGGAGAAGGAACTGGAGGGGCCGTGAGCTGATGCTGTAGTGGGAGTGGAGTGGAGACAGAGTTACTGGAGTCCATGTAAAAGAGCGCGCGGAGTTGGGAGCTTGGCCGTGGGCGAGAAGATTTCGAAGAAGTCGAGATACTCTTTCTGGGTGAAACCCTTAGCCACGTATCGTGCCTTGAACAGTGGAGCTTCACCTGGGAGTTGTTTGACTCGAAAGATCCATTTTCCGCCGACGATGTTAACACCGGAAGGGGGAACGACATCGTCAAACCTATTGTTGCGAATGAACGCCTCGTTCTCCCCATCCATTGCTGCCTTCCACTCCTTATAAGGCCCCTAGAGAGCTTCCTCTTTTGTGCCAGGAGTCGGAACTGTCGGGTTCTCCGTGAAGTTGAAGGAAGGGCAGTTAGTAATGTCCAGGAAGATGTGAGAGAGAAATTGGCAGAACGTGTGAAGGTTAAACAACTCCTCATGCCTGTCCTCCAGAAGTGCACAGAGGGGATTAGGGATGGAGGGGACATCACCCCCGGCAGGAGGAGGCGGGGTGACCGAACACCGGATGGAGAAGGCGGTTGGTCCCCAGGCGAGAGGCGGAGCCGATCCCTTGGAACGAGTGCGACTAGAGACCGGAGACGAAGGCGGCTGTGGTGGGACCAGAGGGACAGGGCGCCTCTTTCAGAAACTGAGAACTTGATTGATTGAAATGAGCAAGAGCATACATCCTTAAGTACCGAGCATCGGAGAGGATGGGAAGGGATAAGGGAGAATCGGAGGGAATCCCAAGGGAATCCTCCCAAATCGTGGGGATTTGGGATGGATTGGGTTGGGATAGGTTGGGGATGAAAACATAGCTACACCCAACCTAACAAATATGAGTATCCCTAAAACCAAGAAAGTGTCAACACACAAAATTGTGCCAACCGAATTGCAGCCTATCTCTAACACACCCCCTAGGCTGCAACGTCGGAAGCCGTAGGGACGCCAAGTCCCATGGTACGGAGGAGACGATAGTGATCACGGCGTCCAAGAGCCTTCGTAAACAAGTCGGCGAGGTTGCAGTCAGAGGAAATATGCTTGACGCACAACTGCCCTCGCTGGACGAGCTCGCGCATGAAGAAGTGTCTCAATTCGATGTGCTTGGTTCGTTGGTGGAAGACAGGATCTTTGGTGAGGTGGATAGTGCTCTCGTTATCACACCACAGAGTCGGGGTCTGCTGAGGATACCCGAGCTCAGCCATGAGGTAGGTAAGCCATCGAGCTTCTTGGGCTGCCATGGTGCCTGCGTATAACTCAGCTTCGCAAGATGACAATGAGACGGATGATGAGCGTGTAGATCGCCAGTTGATGACACCACTGCCAAGGGTGAAGCAATAGCCTTGGGAAGAGCGGCGGTCAGCTTGATCATCAGCCCATGAGGAGTCGCTGTATCCCTCGAGGTGAGGAGGGGTCGTGCCACCGAGAGTGAGGACGTAGTCCTTGGTGGCTTGGAGGTAGCGAAGGACGCGCTTAGCAGCCGACCAGTGGCGATTGGTGTATCGACCGGCAGCAACGTAACGCGAGAGCACACTGATGGGGTAGGCGAGGTCGGGCCTTGTGCACATCATCGCATACATGAGTGATCCGCCGAGCTCGGGGTATGCCTCATCACAAGGCTCAGGCGATGGAACTGATGGAGTGGTCAGATCATGCTGCAAGGGAAGGGGAGTGGCCACTGGCTTGGCGTTGTCCATGGCAAAACGCTTGAGGACGTTGTTCACATAGAACTCTTGAGAGAGAGTGATGGTTCGAGCTTCGCGATCCCGCGAGATTTCCATCCCAAGGTAGTTCTTGAGTTCACCGAGGTCCTTCATGGCGAGAGCGTCCCCAAGAGCTTGCTTAACAGCTGCCAGCTGATCGGAGTCCTTGGAGACGAGAATCATGTCGTCAACGTAGACAAGGATGAAGAACGGGTTGTCGTTCTTGCGAATGAAGAGACTCGGATCGGCTGAGGAGGGGTGGAAGTCGAGTGACTCGAGGGTTGCCTTCAGCTTCTTGTGCCATTCCCGAGGAGCCTGCTTCAACCCGTAGACTGGTCGATTCAGCTTCCAGACCGTGCCGGGTGGAAAGGGTAAGGGAAATCCTTGAGGACGTTCCATGTAGATGTCCTCGGGGAGATCCCCTTGGAGAAATGCAGCAGAGACGTCCATGGAGTGAACGTCAAAGTTGCATCGAGCAGCGATGTCCAGCAGGGTCCGAAGTGTGGGCAGTTTGGCTGTCGGAGAGAATGTGTCGAAGAAGTCCAGGCCCTTCTTCTGCGTGAAGCCTTTTGCACAGTATCGCGCCTTGAAGACTGGGAGTTCGCCAGGCAGTTGCTTGACGCGAAAAACCCATTTGCCACGGACAATGTTAACTCCTCGCGGAGGGGAGACGTCCGTGAAAGAGTTGTTGCGAATGAATGCTTCACACTCCGCGATCATGGCTGCGAGCCACTGGGGGGAGTGTGGTCCAGAGATGGCTTCATCATATGAGTTCGGGGTCGGGATGGATGGATTTTCCGAGAAGTTAAGAGTTGGAGCGTCGGCAAGGTCGGGGAAGAGATGGCAGAGCTGACGGATGGCAGCATTGATCTCAATCAGCTCCTCATGCCTATCCTCCAAGAGGCCAGGCATGGATGCACCCCCGGCAGGAGGAGGCGGATTGAGGGAGATGCGAACAGAGAGGGCGAGAGGCGGAGCGGGACCATGAGAGCGGGTGCGGTGAGCAATAGGGACAGGAGAGGAGGGAGGTGGCGGGGGAGCAGGTGGGACATCGACATAAGAGCGTCCGTGGCGACGGCGACGATAGGTGATGGGCGAGTCGGGAGGAGAGGTGGAGGTTGGAGGCGGAAGCGGAGGTGAAGGCGGGGAGGGAGGCGCGGGGGCAGGGGGAGCCACAGAAGGAGAGGGAGGTGGAGGGGCAGCTGCAGGAGCAGGTGCAGGGGGAAGTGCAGGCGCGGGCGGAGGTGAACGGGCAACTGAGCCAGTGGGCGAAGAGGGGTGAGAGAGAGTGGAAGGAGATGGGGAAGGTGAGAGTGAGGGGGCCGCAGGAGCGGCAGAGGGAGGAGGTGGGGTGGGTGAAGTATCGAAATCAGCCCACACAAGCGAAGGTGGAGCGGTGGGGGGTGGTGAAGAGAGGTAAAAAGGGCGACTCTCGTCAAAGGCGACATCGCGGCTACGAATGAGCTGATTGGTGGAGAGATTGAGGAAAAGGTAATCGGGAGAGTCCAGGTTGTGGCCGAGGTAGACACAGGGTTGAGCTTTGGGTGCAAATTTGCCGCCGTGGGTGCGACGTTCCTGAGGGTTGAGGAGGACATAAGCTGTACACCCCCATACGCGGAGAGGACGTGCACTGGGCTTGGTGCCGGTCCACAGTTCAGCGGGAGTGATGGCAGGCCGAAGAGGGTGAGGGTGAAGGTTGTACAGCAGCGTGGCATGAAGGAGGGCGTAACCCCAAAGGGAAGGTGGTGCACCAGCGTGAGTGAGAAGACAGCGAGCGATTTGCACGAGAGTGCGATTGCGACTTTCGGCAATGCCATTCTGCTGCGGACTGTGGGGAAGGGTGAAGGTCTGGCGAATGCCTTGGGAGGCACAGAACGCTTGAAGGGAATGGTTTCGAAATTCGCCACCGCCATCGGAATGGAGGCACTTGACTGAAGTGCGGAAATGATTTTGGGCTTGTCGAAGCCATGCGATGACGACATCTGGAACAGCTGCTTTGGAGGAGAGGAGGTGGACGGAGGCATAGCGAGAGTGATCGTCAACGAGCACTAGGAAGTAAGAGTGCCCGCCACGAGAGCGGACTGGAGCTGGGCCCCAGACGTCCATGTGGACGAGGTCAAGCGGGGCGGCTGCAGCAGAGGGCGAGGAAGGGTGAGGCAACTGGCGTAGTTTGCTTTGCGCGCAGTCCAAGCATGGAGGAGCGGGAGAAGTGGAGGGTGGAGGAAGTGTGTCGGGCAGGTGAAGAAGCAACTTCTTAGACGCAAGCTCGGAGAGCATGCGGAAGTTGGGATGCCCAAGACGATGGTGGTAAAGAATGGTTGGATCGGTGAGCTGACGGCAGGAGCACGATGATGTGGTGGAGGTAGAGTGTGCTTCTGTGGAAGATGGAGGTACTTGGAGTGTGTAGAGGTTGTTGGCGGTCAGTGTGAAGCGTGCAAGTAGGGCATTGGTGGTGGGCTGAAGGAGATCACAGTGATTGGAATGAGCTGGGAAGATAGTGGTTACCCCTGCTCGTTGAATCTCATGTTGTGCAAGTAAATTGTGCCGAAGAGTGGGCACGCATATGCCAGTGACTGTGCCAGATGGGAAGGCTGGGCATGGAAGAGTGGAGGAACCATGGGCGACAGTTGTGAAGCTGGAGTCAGCGCCCAGAAGAGGAATGGGTGCTTGGTATGGTTTGAAAGACTCTTTGTCTCGGAGGACTGTGTGGGTTGCGCCACTGTCCAGGACGAATTCAAGCGGTTTAGATGGTGTTTGTGGAGACGTCGAGTACTGGGAACTGGTTTCATTGATCATGGGAAGGCCAGGGAACAACAGGTTGAGACGAACATCAGGACTAGGGGCATGAACGGCTGAGTCCTGACTATCCTGTGCCTCAACCTGGTTGAGCTGGCGCATGCGAAGCCAGTTGGGCGGCTTGGAGTTGATACCATTCTTGGCGAACCAGTCGTCGTCCTTCTTTTTGAAACAGGTGGCGAGCGGGTGATTGGTGCCGCCGCACACCTGACCCGCACGGGGTCCCATTTTGATGACGTAAGGACAGGGTGGGTAGCGGTTACGAGTGGGTGGCGGATTGGGACGCGATGCTGGAGCCGGGACAGGAGCGCGAAGCGCATTTGCACGAGCCTGCGCAGTGTTGTCTTTTTCAGCAGAGAGAAGTGCGGAAGAGACTTTGGCAAAGGTTAGCTCTTCTGGCGGGAGATGGAGAAGCATGGAGCGGGTGACATTGTAAGAGGGGGTCAGCCCAACAAGCAGAGCTGCTGCAGGGGCTTGCTCTGGGAAGACAATGCCGAGTTGCTTCAGCTCCTGATGAATCCCTTGAATTTCAGCGACGTAATCTGCCATTCCAGGGCACTCCTCCAGACGCACTTGAAACATGCGGGGGATGAGGATCGCCACCCCCACAGCGGTTTTGTTGAGGAAGCGGTCGTTGAGGTACTCCCAGATGGCGTGCGCGGAGGGGTAGTTATGGTAAGTTTTGACGAGCTCGGAAGGGGTAGTGCCGACGAAGACGCCAATGATAGCGGCGTCGGCTTGCTCCCACACGCTGTAAGATTCCTCATACTTGGACATGGATTCCTCATGGGTTTTTAACTCTTCCCCTGTGGCTGTGGCCGAGAGCTTCTTGGGAAGGATCGGCATCTTTCCTTTGCCGCGATTGAGGAGGACATCCTTGAGGCAAATCCCCTCAATTTTGCGGCTTAGGAGATGCTTATCAACCCCATAGCTCCACTCCTTGAAGTTCGGGCTCGAGCCATTTGGGTCGAGGCGCAAGGGAGTGATCGGGTTTGAGAGAGACGCGGAGGGATACGCCATGATGCTCCAAGGACCCTTTCTCCGCGCGTAGCGCAGCTCTTAAGTCGCCGATTCGGAGCAGCGCGGCTCCGCGAAAAACAGGGTTTCCTTGCGGATTTTCAACACTCGGAGAAGAGGAATAGCCGATAAAGAGGGAAATCTGAACGCCAAAAATCTATGGAAACCCGCGATGTGCTGCTGCAATCCCGCTGCTCCGCGACCCCCCCTTTTCCGCTTCGCCGCTGCCCCCTTTCCGCTTCGCCGCTGCACCCCCCCGCTGTTGCAAGGGCGACGGGCGACAGCCCGTCCAGCTTCGACGAGCAGATGCGGGGCGACGGGCTCAGCCCGATCAGGTGCGACGAGCAGATGCAGGGCGACGGGCTCAGCCCGATCAGGTGCGACGAGCAGATGCGGGGCGACGGGCTCAGCCCGATCAGGTGCGACGAGCAGATGCGGGGCGACGGGCTCAGCCCGATCAGGTACGACGAGCAGATGCGGGGCGACGGGCTCAGCCCGATCAGGTGTGACGAGCAGATGCGGGGCGACGGGCTTCAGCCCGAAAAGAAGCGCCGCGCTGAGTTGAGGCGACTAGAAAAGCTTTGCGTCGTAAGACGCAAATGCTAGGCTCCAACGGAGCGAGAGGATCAAGAGCCGCTTAGGCGGAAACGAGCTCTGATACCATTTCAGAAACTGAGAACTTGATTGATTGAAATGAGCAAGAGCATACATCCTTAAGTACCGAGCATCGGAGAGGATGGGAAGGGATAAGGGAGAATCGGAGGGAATCCCAAGGGAATCCTCCCAAATCGTGGGGATTTGGGATGGATTGGGTTGGGATAGGTTGGGGATGAAAACATAGCTACACCCAACCTAACAAATATGAGTATCCCTAAAACCAAGAAAGTGTCAACACACAAAATTGTGCCAACCGAATTGCAGCCTATCTCTAACAGCCTCCTATAGGAGATTGGTGAGCCGGGCTCGACGCACGGGGAAGGCGGAGCAGGAGGAGGTACCGTTGCAGAGGATACCGGAGAGGCCGGGTGAGAGACGCCTAAAGAAGGCTCCGGAGAAAGGGCAGCGGCCGGAGATGAGGCATCGAAGCCTACCCATACAATGTCGGGGGAGGTGGATGAGGCATGCCCGTGGTCGTAGAGATCGAAGACGAAATCATGGCTGAGAATTAGCTGTCTGGTGATAGGGTTGAGGAATAAGTAGTTTGGAGAGTTGAAGTTGTGTCCCAGGTACATGTAGGTCTGGGTTTTTTTACCAAGCTTGTCACCTTGCTTCATGCGCTTGTGAGGGCTGAGCAACACATATGCGGTACACCCCCAGACGCACAGAGAGCGGGCAGAGGGCGTGGCCCCAAGCCAGAGAGTGGTAGGTGTGGTGTCAGACCGGTGGGGATGCGGATAAAGATTGTAGAGGAATGCTGCATAGAAGAGGGCATTTTCCCAGAGTGATCGTAGTGCGTTGGCGTGACTGAGGAGACAGCGAGCGATCTGAACCAAGGTGTGATTGCGGCTCTCTGCAATGCCGTTCTGCTGCAGGCTTTCGGGGAGCGTGAAGGTTTGCCAAATCCCTTGGGCCGCACAGAAGTTATCGAGTTTGCCATTGCGAAATTCTCCCCCTCCATCAGAATGGAGACACTTTAGAGGAGTGCCGAACGTGACTTGAGCCTGGCGCACCCATGCCATGATGAGGTCAGGTGCTTCCACCTTGGTATGCAGGAGGTGCACGGAAACATACCGCGAGTGCTCATCGACAAGTGTAAGAAAAAACCGATGACCGCCTCGGGATGCGGCTAGAGCTGGGCCTTAGACATCCATGTGCACTAGGTCCAGCACAGCTACTGCGACGGATGGAGAGGAAGGGTGCGGCTGCTGCCTGAGCTTGCTCTTGGTGCAGTCCAGGCAGGTGGGTGCAGGTGAGTCTGTTGGTGGAGGAAGCGCCGACGGGAGGCCAAGAAGAAGTTTCTTGGAAGCAATGTCGGCAAGCGTACAGAAGTTGGGGTGACCCAAGCGATGGTGGTAGAGGATGGTTGGGTTGGCGAAGCTGCGACACGAACACGGAGTGGTGTTGGCAGCTTGCGCTTGGGAGAGGGTGGCGAGAGGTGCAGGTGAACGCAGCGTGTAGAGCTTGCTGCTGTTGAGTGTCAAGCGTGCTAAGAGCTTGTTGGACTTAGGGTCAAGGAGGTCACAGTGATCCGAGTGTGCCGTGAAGGTCGTGGTGACGCCTGCCCGTTGGAGCTCGTGTTGGGCCACGAGATTGTGGCGTAGTGTGGGAACACACATGCCGGTGACATTGCCCGAAGGGAAAGCTGGGCACTGAATTGTGGAGGAGCCCTTGGCGTGTGTTGTGAAATTGGAGTCTGCTCCTAGTAGACGGATTGGTGTCTTGTATGGCTTGAAGGAGTGTTCTTTCTTGAAAACTGCGTGAGTGTCCCAACTGTCGAGGGTGAACTCTATTGTGGCTGAGGTGCTTTATGAGCCGGGACACTGCGAAATTGTCTCATTAATCATGGCAGTACCAGTGAACAACATGTTAAGGCGTACATCAACAGGGGGAGCTACAGCAGCCTGCACGGATTCCTGCGCTTCGACTTGATTGACTTTGCGAGGAGCACGATTGACCATCCAGCTTGGCGGCTTCGAGGCGGTCCCATTGACGGCACACCACTCGTTATTCTTCTTCTTGAAGCAGGAAGCGAGGGCGTGGTAAGTGCCGCCACACACCTGGCCGGCACGAGGGCCGTGCTTGATGACGTAGAGACACGGGGGGAAGAGGTTGCGCCGGAATGGTGTCGAAGCGGAATAGGCCTGAGGCACGGGAGCGCAGATTGCTTTGGCCTTGGCTTGAGCGCTGTTGTCCTTTTCGGCAGAAAGGAGCGCGGATGAGACCTTGGCAAATGTGAGGTCTGCAGGAGCAAGGCCCAAGAGCATCTTGCGTGTGACTTCATATGCCAGAGTGAGGCTGACTAGGAGAGCAGGTGCAGGGGCTTGCTCGAGAAAGACTATCTTCAACTGCTTGAGTTCACCATGAATGGATTGCACCTTGGTGACATAGTCTGCAATGCCTGGCGAATCCTCGAGCCGCACTTGGAAGTGGTTGAGTAAGCCTTGCCGCTTGATTTTCGTAAAGCGACGCTCTTAAGTCACCCATAGAAACTTCGGTGCGCAGCACGACACTTCTGGGAATCGGCCGACGAAAATTGATGAAAATCACTCTGGCGGCTTTTCAGAGTTATTTCACGAAATGCCGCTAAGAAAGAAATGGCGTTGGCGGAAATATGTTTAAACGCCGACTTGAAACTGAATTTGAGACTATGTCCAACCCCGGACCCACACACCCCCAGGCCCTGTCCCGCAGCTACACAGCTCCGCAACCAGCTCCGCAACCAGCTCCACAACCAGCTCCGCTCCGCTTCCACCTGTGTACCTGCTCTTGCTTGACTCGAGACGTTCGTGGAGGCGATTCTACGAGGGGAGTTCGCCTATTCTGGCGGGGTCCGAGGGGAAACTCGAAAACGAGTATTAAGAGATGGTCGAAATTGAGATTCGACTAAGGAGAACTGAAAGGGGCAGAGCGTAAGGCGGAGTGAAGGGCTGGGGCGGTGAGCTGAAGCAGGGAGTCCGAAGTGAAGGCAGAAATCCAGTCAGGGAGGGGCTCTGCCGTAGGGGGATGTTTAGAGGAGAGAGCGGAGAGTGTATCCGACGTTGGGGGAGCGAGCTCACTGGCTTCGAGCGCAGCAAGAAAGCGAGACCAGTCGCCACACTTGGCAAAGCGCTTAGCACGGGAGAGGCGGGCTTGGGTGGCCGTGGAACGGGCCGAGGCTAGGTTAAGGGGGCGGGCAGCAGGGGCTGCTGCAGCTGAGGCCTCCAAAGACAGAGCACGCTAGTCGCCACTAAGAAAGCGTTGGGCAAGGAGAGCACAGGACGCGGTGAGGGATTGCGAGTGGGCAGCCGCGGACATACGGAGGATGAGGCGCGATAAAGCAAGCAAGAGAAGGTGGGCTGCAGCATCTGAAGGAAACTGTGCAAGCTGGCGAAGCGGGATGAGCAAAGCATCAAGAACGAGGAGGCGGATGCGAGGAGGAATGCGGCGGATGATAGGGTTTGGAGAAACTGTAGGGCTGAAGAATGCTGACCAGTCCCAGGTAAGGACGGCGTCCCAAGTGGCTGACGGGAACGCAGGGGGAGAAGCGGTATCAATAGAAGAACCTTGGGCATATGGAGGGGCAGCGCGAGGAGGGCAAGCGGCTTGCTGTCGTGCGGAAGTGTGCTGTTGGCAAGCTGTTTTGTGGCGCCTGAGTCCGCTTGCATTGACACAAGAGCGGCGACATAGAGGGCAGGTGAACGAAGAACTCGCAGGAGGTGGGTTCGCAGGGGCTGATGGGTTCGAGGAGGACGGGGAAGGAGGAGGAGACGTGGAACGGGGAGGGGAGGGTTGGGGGAAAGGAGGAGGATCCATAATGAAGTGCGAAAGGGGGTGCAGAACTCTCGGATCGGCAGTAGGGACGGATGGGCCTGTTGGCCGCTGGGATGAGGCTGGTGGTGGGGCAAGGCGGGAAGGTGCAAGTGCGGATCCGGAAGAGAGTGTGTCCGCAAGAACTCGCTGGAGGACCTCCTTCTGCTTTTGGGACACAAGAGGGCGCGGGGGTAGAGGAGGGGGCCCGCCGAGGAGCTGATGAGCTGAGGCGAGACCAGGGTCGGAGGAAGAGGAGGCCCGGGCGAATGTCGGTTGGGGAACAGGGACTGTAGCAAAGGGAGGGGAAGGGCGCGTTCGAGCTGTGGACGGGGTAGGGGCTGATGCCGTGAGACCGGGTGAGCGACCTCTTTTGCGCGAATGCATTTTGTAAAAAGGTATATTGACGCCGCTGATAGAGGCAGTAGTGAAGGAAAGCGGGAGTAGCAGAAATGATGAGGAAGGCAGTAGCGAGAGCAAGGCCGTGCAGGTGGGACATGACATGGCACCTAGGAGGAGTGCAAGTTGCTGCAGCATGGGGAAAATTGTGGCGGGAAGGTGTGGAAAAATGGGGCGCCGCGCTGGTCTGTGCGTCACTGTTTTGTGTCGGAGACGGTCGTGGCCAAATGCGGGCAAGGAGGGAGTGGCACGTTTCCGTGCAGCTGTGGGCTGGATCGTGCAAAATTAAAGCAGTCCGGCCACCGCACGGAGGTCGTGATTCTCGTGGCAGAGGTGGCAGGGCCACGAACGCGGTGTGGCTGTAGGTAAATGACCCTAATGACGGGAGTGCTGGTGCTGCTGCTGGAAAGGCTATAAGTGGCAGATGTCGTGAGCCGTTTTTGCCTTCTAGACGATGGTAGTGAGTCTGCTGCTGCACTGGAGCGAGCTGCGTGACGAAATACCGAATTAGAGCTTCACAGAGGCTTTATACGTGCTGCTGCACAGACGGAGTGAACGAGAAACTAACTACCAAATTAGAGCCTCAGAGGGGCTTTATACCCTGGATTTGCCTCTATCGGTGTGTGCCTCTATCGGTGTGTGCCTCTATCGGTGCGTGCGCCTATTCCTTGAGCAGGGAATGTGTGACTCCAGCGGGCCCAGCGGACAGACTCCATCCACACGTCCATCCACGCCCTGCCCTCCCCTCCACCCTCCCCTCCACCCTCCCCTCCACCCTCCCCTCCCCCCTCCCCTCCACCCTCCCCTCCCCCCTCCCCCTCTCCCCCCCAGGGCGCGGCGGAGCAGCGCACGCGGCTGCTGCAGGCGACGGCGCGGCTGGCAGAGTCGTCGGAGCGCGTGGCGGAGAGCCGGCGCAGCATGGTGCAGACGGAGCAGCTGGGCGTGTCCATCCTCCACGACCTGCACCAGCAGCGCCAGTCGCTGCTCCGGGCCGGCGACACGGTGGGCGCGAGGGAGTGGGAGGAGAGGGGGAGAGAGTGAGAGGAGAGGGTGAGGGAAGAGGTGGAGTGGAGAGGGGGGAGGAGAGGGTGAGAGGGCAGAAGTGGAAGGAGAGTGAGAACAGGAGAGTGTAAGAGCGCAGCTCCATGCCTTTGCATGGTGGGAGGCATGCCATAGTGGGCGGCATGACATAGTGGGCGGCATGACATAGTGGGCGGCATGACATAGTGGGTGGCGTGACATCGTGGGCGGCATGCACCACTGGGCCACAAGGGCAGTAGTGCATTGTCGTGACCATCCCACCCTCAGCACTCTGTGTTGCCCCAACGTGTGCCCCAACGTGTGCGCCAACGTGTGCCCCAACGTGTGCCCCAACGTGTGCGCCAACGTGTGTCCCAACGTGTGTCCCAACGTATGTTCACCCGGCAGCTGGAGGACGTGGACCAGCAGATGAGTCGCAGCCGGCGTGTGCTGGCGGGCATGGCGTACAAGCTGCACCGCAACAAGTGGATCACGGCGCTCATCCTCACGGCTCTGCTGCTCGCCATCGCCGCCATCATCTACCTCCGCCTGCACCACTAGCGGCTCTGCTGTGGGAGCGGCCTTGGGAACGCGCGCATGGAATCCTCGTTGTGCACTTGTTGCTTCCCTCTATGCTTGGACTTGCCGCATCATCATTATCTAGCAGAGTACTACTACAACCGTATTCTACCTATCGCTACAAAATAGCTTTTTTTTTGCTCGACTGCTACTCTCTCAGAACGTTGTGGTCCTATTGTTGAACAGTGGTTGGATGGCTGCGGCATTGTTGCTATTTCAAAACAAGCGAGAGACGATGGAGAGCTCAAGAATAATCGTACAACGGCCTAAAGACACCAACACATGACTACATGCTATCATATGCCAGCTACATAGTATCCTCAACAGTCTCCTTTTCGCTCTCTCCCTCCCTATCTACATTCTCCCTTCTAACCCCCACTCCCCAACCACCCCCCCGGGAAGTGCGCCCCCTGCCCTCACCGCCATTGCTCCAGGGCAGCGAGCAGAAGGGCCAGCACTCGACGGGCGTGGAGGGGCGGCAGGGCAGGGCGCGGCACTTGAGGGTGCGGGGCAGCACCCAGGTGAGGCCCTGGTCCAGCACGGGCTTCACCCACGAGCGGCAGGGGTGCTGCTGCAGGTCGATGGCAACCGCTGTGAAGTGGTTCAGGTGCAGCACGTCCCGCGGGGCCGTCGCCACCGATGCGGGGGGAGCCGTGGTCGTGTGGATGGCCACGGAGCTGACGGGAGGGGGTAGCAGGGGCGGGAGGGAAATGAGGAGGAAGAAGTGAAGGAATGCGGGGTGAGAGAGGAACAGCAGCGAGGGAGGGGAAAGACATCACAAGGGGTTCTGCAAGGTGTAGCAGGGGCCCGGCATGTGGGTGCATGTGGTGCTTGGCAGGCTGATGGTGTAACGCTGCCATGATTGAGTTGCATGATGAGGTGCTGCCATCGGGCAGGATGGAGGTCTGATTTTCACTGCACTCACTAGGGCAGGATGGTGTGCGGGTTGACTGCACTCACTAGGGCAGGATGGTGTGCGGGTTGACTGCACTCACTAGGGCAGGATGGTGTGCGGATTGACTGCACTCACTAGGGCAGGATGGTGTGCGGGTTGGCTGCACTCACTAGGGCAGGATGGTGTGCGGGTTGACTGCACTCACTAGGGCAGGATGGTGTGCGGGTTGACTGCACTCACTAGGGCAGGATGGTGTGCGGGTTGACTGCACTCATTATGGCTGGATGGTGTGCGGGTTGACTGTACTCACTAGGGTAGGATGGTGTGCGGGTTGACTGCAAACACTAGGGCAGGATGGTGTGCGGGTTGACTGCACTCAATTTGGCAGGATGGTGTGCGGGTTGACTGCACTCACTAGGGCACGATGGTGTGCGGGTTGACTGCACTCACTAGGGCACGATGGTGTGCGGGTTGACTGCACTCACTAGGGCAGGATGGTGTGCGGGTTGACTGCACTAACTAGGGCAGGATGGTGTGCGGGTTGACTGCACTCACTAGGGCAGGATGGTGTGCAGGTTGACTGCACTCACTAGGGCAGGATGGTGTGCGGGTTGACTGCACTCACAAGGGCAGGATGATGTGCGGGTTGACTGCACTCACTAGGGCAGGATGGTGTGCGAGTTGACTGCACTCACTAGGGCAGGATGGTGTGCAGGTTGACTGCACTCACTATGGCAGGATGGTGTGCGGGTTGACTGCACTCACTAGGGCAGGATGGTGTGCGGGTTGACTGCACTCACTAGGGCAGGATGGTGTGCTGGTTGACTGCACTCACTAGGGCAGGATGGTGTGCGGGTTGACTGCACTCACTAGGGCAGGATGGTGTGCGGGTTGACTGCACTCGCTAGGGCAGGATGGTGTGCGGGTTGACTGCACTCACTAGGGCAGGATGGTGTGCGGGTTGACTGCACTCACTAGGGCAGGATGATGTGCAGGTTGACTGCACTCACTAGGGCAGGATGGTGTGCGAGTTGACTGCACTCACTAGGGCAGGATGGTGTGCTGGTTGACTGCACTCACTAGGGCAGGATGGTGTGCGGGTTGACTGCCAGCTTGTCATGCCAGCCGGCCCACCCCTCGGTGTGCCACATGGGCTGCGCGCAGCGCCACGTGAGGCGGTCCAGCACGGGCTCGCGCCGCGACTGCGCGTCCACGCCCCAGAAGTTGAAGCGCCGCAGCTGGATCACCTGGGGGAGGAGAGGGGGGGAGGGGCAAGAGGGGGTGGGGTGGCGAGGGGATGGATGGGAGAGGTGGTGGGTGGGGGAGGGGAGGGGGTGGCGGGCGGAGGGAGCGCATTGAGACTCATGGAAGCGGGGCAGGCAGCACGCAGCGCAGCCACAACGGATGGCTGCGGGTGAGACTGTAAAAACGAATACGAATTAGAGTTCGAATTTTTTTCTCCGAATAATTGCGAATAGAAGCTGAATTTGTATTTGGCCGAATAGTTTCTTCCCCATCGAATACGAATTCGAGTCGAATACTGGTGATGCAAAGACGAGACGAATACAAATGTGTCTCGAATAGTCGGGCTATGAACCTTTTTTGTCGTTAACCTATGGCTACTTCAGCCCCACCCTGAAATCTGACGACTGATTTCTTCAGTATCGGCCATTTCCCCTTGCCCCCCGCTAAACAACAGGGCGACATATGATGCCATTTCGAAACAAATACTTTACGAATAACCCAAACAAATATTCGTCCGAGACGAATATTTGACCCCGCGAATATCTCTGAATAATCAGCCAATTCGAATTCGTTTTGTATTCGGGTATTTGCCAAATTTCAAATAGTGTGAGAATACTGAATATTGTATTTACAGGCTGTCACGCAGGTGAGCGCACCCTGAGAGGCTCGGTGCTGCCGCGGGGTTGGGCCCGCGAGTGGTTGAGCTCGAGGCGCGCCAGCAGCGGCTTGAGGAACGCCCCCGAGCGCGGCTCGTACCACATGAACTCGTCGCTGTCGATGTGCAACTGCCAGCGGTCGTTGCGGCGGCGGCCCTGCATGAGGCAATGCTCGTACGAGAGGATCTGGTCGTAGATCTCCGGGAACTGCCAAGGGGGGGGAGACGAGGAGGCGTGGGAGCGAGGCGTGGGGAATGGCAGAGAGGGAGGGGCATAAATGAAAACCATGAGAGGTTAGGGATACGGTGCCGTGGTGATGTAGCTTGACTGTGGATGAGTTACTCTCACCAGGGGAGGTGCCTCGCGACGGAGACAGTGCTCTGAGGATGAGGGTGAGGATGAGGATGAGGTAAGAATTACAATCACCAGGTACGGCACTCACCAGGTACGGCACTCACCAGGTACGGCACTCACCAGGTACGGCACTCACCAGGTACGGCACTCACCAGGTACGGCACTCACCAGGTACGGCACTCACCAGGTACGGCACTCACCAGGTACGGCACTCACCAGGTACGGCACTCACCAGGTACGGCACTCACCAGGTATGGCACTCACCAGGTACGGCACTCACCAGGTACGGCACTCACCAGGTACGGCACTCACCAGGTACGGCACTCACCAGGTACGGCACTCACCAGGTAGGGCACTCACCAGGTATGGCACTCACCAGGTACGGCACTCACCAGGTATGGCACTCACCAGGTACGGCACTCTGGCCTTGCCGGCATAGAGCCCCTGGCGGTAGAACACCTCGCTCCAGGGGGGGAAGGGCACGTGCACCACCTGCCCGCGCTCCGTGTACGGGCCCAGCAGCGCGTGCTTGGTGCTGCCGTAGCGGTCGTACACGTAGAGGCGGTCAGCGCCCATGAGCAGCGCGGCGTCGATCCACTCCAGCAGGCGCGCGTCGGAGAACGCCACGTCGTGGGAGAAGAGCTGCCGCGTGTGGAACGGACGCAGGCACACCGCCACCGCGCCCATGGGGTGGCTCCTGCCGCGCCCGCTGCTGCCGCCCGCTGCACTGGAGGCAGCAGGCGTGCTGCTCACACTGCTGCTGCCCTCATCCTCCTTATTAGCTTCGTCACTATAGTTCACTAAAAGCTCCTCCGAGCTCTCCACCTCCTCCCCATCAGCCCCCGCCTCCCCTCTCCCCGTCCTCCTCCTTCTCCCTTTCTCCGCCCCTCCATCAGTCCCCATCAGCCTCGCCAGCTCCGAGCCTCCTGCCGAACCTCCTGCCGAGCCTGCATTCGCCGCGGCAGCCACCTCTCTCTCCACCGCGGCGAAGGGGAACGGCGGGGGGAGGCCGCCAGGCGGGTTAGAGAGGCTGTCAGTGGCGGTGCGGGTGCTGCGCTCGCGCCCGCTCTCACCGCCGCTGCCACCGCTGCTCGCAGCGTCACTGCGTCCGTCACTGTCGGCGCGGCACAGCAGCAGCGGCGGCATGCGCAGGTCCGTGCCATTCTCCGCCGCCACCAGCTGCACCTGCACGCGCTGCGAGTACTGCACGTAGTGCCGCCGTGCCTCGCGCCGACTCACACGCACGCGTACTGGCACCGCGGGGTCGGCGGAGGGGTCCGTGGGGGAGGAGGAGGAGGAGGACGCAGGGGAGGGGTATGGCGGGAGCGGGCATTCAAGCGCGATGTGCCAGTTGTAGCGGTGGCGGATGACGGCGTCCACCACGTAGGCAGGCGCCACGGCCTGCAGCGCGGGGTCGTGGCCGGGCCACACGAGACACTTTAGCTGCAGCCCGCCCCGCCAGTACACGTCGCTCAGCTCCGCCGCGCCCCACCCCTCCCACTGCGTCTTGCGGATCGACTCCTCGTCCTCCAGAAACGCCAGCAGCCGCAGCGACGTCGCCACCGCCCCCGCCGATGGCCCTCCCCGCTGCTGCCTGCCCGCCTGCCCGCTGCCCGCCCGCTCCTCCCCCGCCGCCCCTCCCCCCGCGGCCTCGTGGCGCGCCTCCGCCTCGAACACCGTCAGTTGCGCCAGGCGCGGCCCGAAGCTCGCCCCCTCGCGGCCCTCCATGGGGCGGCTCACGAACGCGCCCTGCGCGAACGGCGCGGCGGCGCTGCCCATGCACAGGCGCACCTTGGCGCCGCGCGCCGACAGCGGGCGGACCAGCGGCGCGAGCTTCACCTCGCCCTTGCCGCACACCGGGCAGCCTCGAAAAGTTTCGTGTGACCGGTGGAGGAAGGCTCTCCCAGAGAGGTCACGGGCGTCGGGCAGCGGGGGCGCGTCGGGCTGAAAGGCGACCCACACGAGCAGGAACAGCGCCGCCGCCACGGTGAGCGCGCCGTAGTAGCAGAGCGCGCGCGCCCGGGCGGACACGGCGGCGCGCGCGGGGAAGCGAAACGGCGCATGGCGGCC